ATAATTAGCAAAGAATTTCAGAATTAGCACCTGTTCACTTGATCCTGGCAACTGTTCTTAGTATGTGTCAACCTGTCGATTCCTTCATCACTTCTATTCTCCGGATTACTCTCATTGCACAGAAAAGGCACTGGAATAGAGAGCAGAAAACCTACCCAAGGTCACAGGGCGACACAGGATGTGAACCCAGGGAGTCAGACTTCAGGGTCCAGTGCTTAATCATTACCCGCCCAGTCTCTCAGTAGTGAGGAATGACAAGGTCAACAGCAGCTACTGGTTTTCAAAAGGCCAAACATTCCTCTAAACTAGTACCAACATTCTTCCCTTTCAATTGTTTATGCTCTTTCTCTACAACCTGTCACCTTCAGCATTCCCACCCAGCCCAGAGTCAGAGTTTCTGGGTCACTTCCAGCTGGTCCTTGCTCCGAGCATCCTCCCCAGACAACTCAAGATGGGCTCAGAAAGCCAGATTCCCCAGTGGCTGAAGCTGATGCCACAGCAACTCTCAGTTAACTCAGATTCCTCCAAATCTCCAGAACACTTTGCACAAACATCACACAATTCTGCAAAATGGCACGAGCCCAATCATTCTGCCCATTTACTGGATCTTGACAGGAACCAGGAAATAGGGGCCACAAGTCTTTTGAAAAACCAATCTGAGCATTATCATGCTTTCAAATAAACCAGCTGACCTGAGACAAATATCTCCTTCTTCCCGAAGGAAGGCAGACCTGGACACGCTCAGGTTGGGGCAGAAATGTACTCCTGATTGTACATTACAAGGCATTTCATCTGGGCACCGCCAGCCCTGCTGCTAGAGAGAGCACCTTTCTTAGAGAGCTGACTTCCAACCATGTGCAACCCAAACCAACGTTTTTAGTATAGTGAAAGGAGTGGGCGTGTGCCATGAAAGGGGAACAGCAGATGTCTTTCCTAATGCCAGGCTTCTTTCCCGTGGGTGCACATGCCCGGGGCTGGCTGAGTATGACGTAGATTCCTTGCTGTCAACTGCTCAACTTTACACTGATGCCTGGGGCTGTCTTAATTGCTGTCAAGTGGCTTCTTCAGCCTCCAGCAGCCTTGGGTGAGGATGATGCAACTTTGAAAGGTTGTGGGATAAAAGCTTCCTCTCTCCCCCACCCCCCCAAGATCACACAGAGGACTACGAAGACAAAGATCAATCTAATTAGAGCTGCTTCGCTCCTGCTCCTCCACCACGGGGATGAGCCGGAGTTTAATCGCCTCCTCGAAGCTTGAGGCTTTCCTGCTCAGACCACAAAAGCTCTTTCTCCAGCCTTACTGCTCTTTGAAGATCTCACTGCAAAAATAACGAACACCCGGAGTTTTAAATTACTGGCCCTGAAGCGGAAGGAGAAGAAGAACTAATCTTTGAACCAACAGGGTCCTGGCTCCCTATCCTTCTGCTAGAGTTGGGTTTCAGCAAAGCCCTCCGTAGAGACCAGGGCTTGTCTCAAAATGGTCCCTGTTACTGCGTATTTAGAGCACTGGGAGAATGCCAGTATGAAACATGGTAAACACAAGATTCCTGTCCTGGTATTCCTCGGATCTCATAGCATCTCAGATCTCGCTATTCTGAGAGCATTCTGTATGCTTTCGCTGAGGCTTCATCATTTTTTTTTTAATATTCTAGCTTATCCTCCAGTCGCATTTCCCATGCCATCTACTCCTCTCCTTGGTCATAATTAAATTTCCTGTAATTCATCATGACCTCTCTCTTTTTCAAACTCGGGCCTTTGAACATCCATATGTCCAGTCTCCCCTTACCCCCCTAAGTTTGCCCTCGGGACTCCTCTCCTGCAATACACTTCAGACATTCACTTCTCTCCTCTCTAAGTCCTCTGCTGTGGCTAAATATACAACCCTACAGCATCACATCACAGCCTGGAAGTACAGCGACATCTGCCTTGGACTTAGGATACTTCTCAGCCAACTTGAAGCCACCTGAGGTCATGTCTGCTCCTCTGACTCTCCGTCTCCATCCCTGACTTCCATCACATTCCAGTGACAAATATTTACCGTGAATACCTAAATAGCAGACCCAAAATCCAGCTCTGGATTTCTATAAATGACTCAAATCTGCAGAAAAGTCTATACTCAAGAGGCAGAGCTACAAGGTAGTTTTATGTGCATGCTTTTAGGGACATGTTTTCCAAATCATAAGGTCTAAGATAAGTTTTCTGGTCCCAGGTACGCATGACTAAAAATACACACACTCAGTCACCCTCCCATTCATTTACGCATTCCTTCCACTAGAAGTTACTGTATATCTGTGTACCAAGAAGGGGACCAGACACAGAGGTTCAGAAGAGGCTGGGATTGGCCCTACAGTAGCAAGCGTGCAGCCAGGTCTATTCAGAGAAAGAGACCTTTCTGTTTGAAAGGAAACTGAACAGAGAACAGGACTAATGAGAACTTTTAAGGACTGGCTAGGATTCAAGCATCTTAGGATGAGGAAACACGTAAAACTCAACTCCACTTGGTAAAGAATTTTTGTAATTGTGGTAGTGCGTCACCCACCACTTCCTCAGAAGAAGTGGGAACTGGAAAAGAGAAATGGGATCCAGAAGCAGCCTGAGAGATCCCAGTAAACTCTCTGGTGACCTCCCCATCTGAATGAGGATGTTTGAAACCCCAGGGTTAGAGGAGGCCTCTGAAGTTCCTGTCTGTACCATCAGGAAGGGCTGGCAGCTCCCAGAGCCAGAGGTGAATGGGAGATGAACCCTAAGGCCATGACGTTAGCTGCATCCCCATCCAGGCCCAGTTATAAAACCCCATTCCATCACTCATGAGCCCTGCATGAGGGCGAAGATCTGTTCTCCCTCTCCAGAAAGTGGGACTATTACCACCACCTCCCAGCATCCCAGTGGGGCTGCACTATGATGGACTTGGTACACGTTGATTTAGTTTACTAGGAAATGGCACAGGAATGAGTATATTGACCAAGATTGAACCAGGTAATTGAAATGTTTAGTCTCGTGGTAAAATCTGATGAAGAACACATATACATCATCTCATGATTAAATAGTTATGGAAGAATATAATACAATTATGTAATTTACATGATAGTAACATATTAGCTAATCATCTGCACAGAAAGTCTATGCAATTTCGTGGATAACTCCTTCAGAACTGTGACTTGAAGCAAAAACTGTAGACAACAAAAGCAGGACTCCGGATGATGTCAGTTTCATTCAGCATTAAAGGGATTTGTTATTTTCTCATGAGCTCTAAGGTGACTTGATCCTGGACCACACAAAGGCCATGTTACTAAAGGGCCTTTGTTATGGGTTTGCATTTCTCATACCCTCTGTGCCAGCCCTGCTCTAACACTGATGCAGACATTAGCTCATGGATTCTTAAAAGGTAAAGGTAAAGGCCCTCCCGTTGATCAACGATTTGCTCGAGCGGGCCCAGTAACGTCTGCATTGGAGACTTTGTTGTTACTGTGTCTGGCATATCGAATACTCTCGATAGCTTGCCGGGCTCTCTGAGAGGGGCGGAGGAATCGAACTCGGGTTGGCCATGTTGGCCGCGTGCAAGGCAAACGCCCTACCCGCTGTGCTAGCTTTATCATATCCAATTATTCCCCTTGTATTGCAGGGAAGGAAACTAAGGCACAAGAGGCTTGTCATGCCAAAGCTGAATAACTAGAAAGTCAAAGTGGCTGAACCCAAGAGGCTGGGCTGCAGTCTGTCCTCTGGCCATTCACAACACCCCCCCCCCCCCCCCCCCCGTCATTCCTACCACCTTAGTCTCTCCCCTTCCAACAGTGACGCAGGATGGTCCTCTCATCACCTGTCTGTCGCCTCAAATCTCTTTGAAAATGATCTTGGACCTACAATCTATCCTACTTAAAATTTCAACACACTTTTTCTATTTTTGGCCTCCACAAGCCCCTTCCCTTGTTATGTAAAGGTCTCTTGATCACCCTAAAATGCTCTACTTTGCTGTTTGAGAGGAGTCACTTATTTCTGGTCACCAGGTTATGTGCCCTCCCCACAGGAGTTCTGCCTAACTCTCATTCCATATTGCTTTTGAAAGTCTGTAGCACTGTAGCACTGTCCTCCCGTTGTTCATTGATTTGCTCAAGCAGGCACCAGTAACAGCTCACAACAAATTGTGAGATTTGTTGTTACTGCTTTTGGCATATTGAATGCCAGGCTTTGCTGTGCGGGCAAGATACTCTCGATAGCTTGTTGGGCTCTTGGAGACGGGCAGAGGGATCGAACCCGGGTTGGCCACTTGCAAGGCAAACGTCCTTCCCACTGTGCTATCTATCCCTCCAGCCCTTTGAAAGTCTAAGGAATTGAAATGTTATAAAAAGACAGCAATGGCATTCTTGGTCTTTACTTCTGTAAATACAAGGCATAGTTTCAGACTCTGTTGAGGCCTGGGGCTCCTGGAATCTTCTGTGTCCTACTTTTATCTATTTTGCATACTTACGTTTCAAGTAAAGTTGTCATTGAAAAGGATTAATTTAAAGGTTTTTGAAAAATATTAAAGGTGTTTGAAAGTCATCAAAATGTTCCAACGCATTTGCAATTGGTGAATTTGTATTTAAGAAATGCTTGAAACTACTGGTTTCAGTTGTCACCTTTCCTAGGGTCAGAAGTGAAGAACAGAAAATCAGAGCATGGTTTCTGTTACCCTCTGCACCCAGAGATTAGAAGGGTTCATTCAAGGCATAGATCTGATTCTCAAGGAGATTTTCATCTTGGTTATCTGTATTTCCTGTTGTAAATTTTCGTTTGAACTTCCACCTCCATGGGGGGAAAAATCCTCATCACACTGAATCCCTTGAGTGACCATGAGAAATGCATGCTTTAGAATTCTAATGAACCATAACCCAACCTCTGGAGTCTTTCAAAGCAGGAAAATAATAATAGAAATACAGTGAGCTTTTAACTGCTCATAGGTACCTTGAATGTAACAGAAAGTACACATAGCAGAGACACAGGATTTGGAGGAAGGAATCTCACCTGTTTTTCAATGAAAGCATTGATTCTCTGTAGCATTCCCTCACATGTAAATTCATATGGCATATAGGGCTCAATCTGTGGGAACAGAACACAGTATCATGAAAGAGGAAGACACAGGATATGCGACCCTTAAAAAGTCCTCTATAATGCATACATCAACCAAGATATCAACACCAATAGGCAACCTCATAAAGGATGAATTCTATGAACTTGGAAGCCAATAGACCTGGGTTCACAACCTTGCCTTTCTCCTAACTAGTTATGGCTAACTAACGCCTTTCTCCTAACTAATCTCTGAACCTCGGGATCTTTATAGTAAAATGATAATAAGAAAACTTGAAAGAGCTAGTATATTGAATAGGGCACTTGTCTTGCATACAGTTAACCTGTGTTTGATCCCCAGTGGCATCCCATTTGGTTCCATGAACCCTGTCAACAATGATCCCTGAGCACAGAATCAGGAGTCGTAAACACAGCCAGGTATAATCCAAAAGTGAAACAGAAAAAGGAGAGAGAGAGAGAGAGAGAGAGAGAGAGAGAGAGAGAGAGAGAGAGAGAGAGAGAGAGAGAGAAAGGCCTACCTTCTTCCAGCTGTGTAAAGGTGATATGGCGGGGTCGTGGGGGGGATGGATAAAGTGCTCAGATCCATGTCTAGCACACAGCAGACAACTGCGAATACCAATAATTGTGGGTAATCTCCAAAATGACGGTTGCAGGGTTGCTAGGAGAAATTTGTAGTGTGGCACACAGGAATGCAGCAATCATGTGCTGAATGTGTGCAGGTTCACTGCTCTCAAAAAGGCTCATAAAATGCAATTTAAAGACCCTTGATGATGACAAAAGCATTGGCCTGTGTAACTAGGTGAAGCTTTTATGTACGGCAAAAGGAACTTGTATGTCAAAACAGCTACAGTCCCCTCCCATCATCTATTCCTTGAACATGGCAGACCCAGTAGTAAGTCCCAGGAACTACCAGGTGTACCCCTCCCTAATCTTCCCCAGTCATTTAGAATAGTCCCAAAATATTATAAAATCAAAGTTGACTACTGACATGCTGGGCTTTTAAGGTCAACTTTTGATTCTAGGAGCCAAGATGTGGAAAACTGGTCAGGCTGAGTGAGAGGCAAGGATGAAAGAAAGGCATGAGGGTGGTGCTCCAGATCCCAAAGGCTGCAAGTCAAGGTTTATTGGATTTCCACAAAAAACTTGGAGATTTCTATGCTACTGAACCTAGATTTCATCTGAGAGTATGAGGAAGTATTAGAAGATGCTCTATTGGTGTGGGGAAGGCAATGTGGGTCAAATATTGTGACAGCTGCGGGGGAGAGGGGAGGAGAAGAAATGGAATATGATATCTGCTTGTGTCAATACTATGAGACCTGAGGTTTTCAGGGGCAGCAAAGTCAGCACTGGCAATCAGAAATGAAAATTTCACGTGGGAGAAAAACACCAGCAAGCCAGAGTATTCTAGTTTTACAGAGTCTGATAGTACCTGCCAGCAATAGAACAGAAGGCGATCTTCATCGTCTCTTTCTTAAATCTACATCTGTCTATTTTGAATTAATATGGTGGAAACTAGAAGAAAAAAATTTATGAGTTGATTGGGCCAGAGCAAAAATACAGCAAGTAGGGTGTTTGTCTTGCATGGGGTGATCCTGGATCAATATCTGACATCTCATATGGTCCGCCAAGCCCCACTACACCTGAGCATAGCCAGGTGTGGCTCCAAAACAAAACAAAAATTTATGACTTGAAAACTTCATAAATGATAATAGGTAGAAAAGATGTTTTTCTCTAGGCATAGAGCAACTGGTCTCAGGGGTTCTTTCCCTTTTTGACTGTGCTTCGATTTACACACTACATTTGAAATCTTCCCTGACTGTGACTATTAATTTCATATCATTATCTTCAAAAACAATTGGATGACACATCAGAGAGGGTGTGTCTTAATCATCTTGCACACACTACCTCAGGTAATGCCAGCGAAGACTGAGTTGTAAGTTATAAAATATCAGGGCACAGCTTTTCTGACAGGGTTGAGGTCAATTTCTTAGCAATGCATTTTTGGAAGAGTTAAAAATACTTTAAGAACCTGATTTCTATGTTCCATGCTTTTTAGAATTTCTAAACTCCTAACTTGTGCAAACTTGCTCAAAGACACACTGGAGCCTTTGTTAACTTGGGCTGTTGTACCACTATTCTCTCTTTGACCCAGACACAGCTTTTTATACAAAAGGAAAATATTTTTTCTTTCCATTTCAAGGTTATTTATGTACTCAATGGGTGATTCTCGAAGCTTTCTATAACTGTCCTTGAGTTATATTTCCTCCCAAAAGTTCATAGAAGGAATGAAAAGAAAACTACCAGAGATTTAGAAATTTGGATCATGAATAAGGGGGAAAGTAAAATTTCTGGAGTGTCATAAATAAACAACAATGGTCATCTATCACCAGGCCAACAGACTTAGCTCAATAGTGGGATGCAGGCTGTATTCTAGAGGGCCATTCCTACAACATATTTTAAAGGGCAGCTGTTAGAAATTGAAATAAATGAATTCAAAGATTCTATGCATAAAAATAGAAAAAAGGAACTCTTCCTTTGTTCTACCAAACAAAACTAGTTTATCCACAAGAGTGCTGACTCATTAATTGCTTTCTGACCAGTTCACTGTTTTAGAGGATATGACGCCAAGCAACTTTCCTATAAAGGAAAATAAAGGAAACTGTTTTCTTAACCACATCTGCCAGTGAGTTCCATTACTGTCCCTAAACTACTGGCTTTGGGACTCAAGAGTACAGGTAAAAGTCATGACTGAACAAATACAGGACAGTCCTTCAGGAAGAAGTACAGGCCACTAGGGGGAACTAATGAAAGAAAAGGCTGAAACCACATGTAGTCACTCAGAAACCCACGCAGGGCAAGTTCTATGGAAGAGTAACAATATTGTTGGTCATTTTGCTTTGTGAAGACAGAATTATCTCTTGAATGGCCATAGGAAGGAAGGCTAGAGCTTGCACTTTGACCCACACTGTGGAGTTTCTGCTGGCTTTGGAGACCTTCCATTTTATTCTTTCTCTACTCCTTTTCTGAGGAATTTTTATCTTCTAAACTGCTTTTTGTTTGTTTGTTTGTTTAGGTCAGAGTACGGGCTAGAGTGATAGCACAGTGGGTAGGGCGTTTCCCTTGCATGCTGTTGACCCGAGCCGACCCTGGTTCGATTCGATTCCTCTGCTCCTTTTGAAGAGCCTGGCAAGCTACCAAGAGTATTGCGCTGGCACAGCAAAGCCTGGCAAGGTACCTGTGACGTATTCAATCTGCCAAAAACAGTAACAAGTCTCACAATAGAGACGTTACTGGTGCCTGTTCGAGCAAATCGATGAACAATGGGAGGACAGTACTACAGTGCTACAGGTTAGAGTACAACTGCTTTAGGAAATTATTCTCAGAGATGAGCCAAGTCATCCTTGGTGCCACTTGCAGAGATGGCCTGGCTTCAATATCCTTGATCTACTATGTCTCTAGGCTTGAGTTTATTAACTGTTTCCTCTAAATGATAGGTCACTTTTACAAAAATGAAAGAACTTAGTGCCATGAAATTTTAAATCCTATAACTAAACAAATAAACATTTGGTGCCAACTTTCTTACTCATGCCAACAAGTGTAAGGATGATAGTTCCGGTATCAATTTCATCACCACCCCCATCTCATTGCTTCTCTCCCTCCCTGTTGTTGTTTGCTTTTTTTTTTGTTTTTGGGCCACACCCAGCCCCAGCAGTGCTCAGGACTTACTCCTGGCTCTGAGCTCTGTGATCACACTTGGTGGTTCTTGGGTCACTACATGGAGTATCTGAGTTTGAACTCAAGTCAGCTGTGTGCAAGGCAAGCACCCTACCCACAGTACTGTCACTTTGTCCCCCCCCATCTTAATTCTTATTTAAACTTTTTTATGTCATGTTTTTTGCTTTTTTGGGTCACATCTGGCAATGCACAGGAGATCCTCCTGGCTCTGCACTTACTTCTGGCAGTGCTCAGGGAACCATATGGAATGCTGGGAATTGAACCCAGATCGGCCACGTGCAAGGCTAACACCCTACGACTGTGCTATCGCTCCAGCCCTCTTATTTAAATTCTTACTTCCCAATTCTTACCTGTCTTTCCTACCAGTTTGAAAAATATTTTGCATTATCTTTAATCAAACAGACCTTGGTTTTAGTCCCAGTTTTACCACTCAATGGTGATATGATTTTAGTTAATTTCTTTAAATCTTTTTCTTATCTACAAAACAGAAACAAATTCCACTCCACAGAGTGAAATAATGTTCATAAAGATGTTAAGAAAGATTATATGTGTGCAGAAAGAAGTTTTGTCTACATGTCAATGATCATCATAGTTATATGCTTTATAAAAAATGTGTCCTTAACTGGTCTTTGGAAAAACCTGGAAGAAGCGTCCCATACAGGGTTTTGAATTCAGAGCTGAGTTTCACAGAGTGGGCATGTTCCATCTAGGAGGGAGCAGACAAAGCCCAGGGCCTGTTGTCAGGGTTTATGGCTGAGGCTTTCCCATTAGATTTCTGGTTGATGACAGAAGAGATCTATCTTAACTTAAAAAGTGCTGGAGTCCATGGTTCGAGATTGTCTGACTCTACATTAGCTTTCAAGTGACTTCAAAGAGAAGTCACTTTTGTTGATGTTTACTTACTGAAGTGCCAGGGGTTGAATTGTGTCTCCATGATTCCCCCCAGAGATAAGCTGAAATCCTAACCCCTTGCCTGTTTGGAAATAACGGCCTTCGAAAATATAATCAAGTTAAGATGATATCACTTTGAATGAGAGTGAACAGAGTCTGTAAGTGAAGTGGTGAGAGACACACATACGTGGCTCCAGAGAGAATGGAAGCAGAGATGAAAGCCCTGCAGCTACAGTCAAGGGATGCCTGTGGCCACCAGGAGTGGGGAGAGGAAAGGAAGCATCCCCCCAGGGGAGGCTGCAAAGGATACAAGGTCTTATTGGTACCACCATTTTGGATCCCAGTCTCTAAAATCTGAAGAGTTCTAATTTGCCCCACTGAAGTCAACATGTCTTGAAGTCAACATGTTTGTGGTTCTTTGTTATAGCAGCCTTAGGTAATCAATAATCGAAGAAACTTGGAGATACAAGAAAAAAGAAAACCTTTGATTCTACATAATGACTCTGGTGGTGGAGCTTTCGATGAGCAGCAGGTATTTCAGGGTAATCCCGTAGAGCCACACTCCACTTAGCACTTTTCTAGAGTGACCACCAGAGGTCGGGGAGCTTCTGTCCTAACATGTTGAGACTGGAATTGAGAATGTACATGTCATAACCTCACTGAGCTCAGGAGGTGATATCAGCCAGTGCATAGGAGGCAACATCAGTCGGTATCAGAGTGGACGAAGTGGAGGCTCAGAGGCTCAGTACTGACAAAGTGGATTCTGCTGGTAAGTGAGGGTCACAGCTGGAACCCAGAGCCAAGCGGCTGGATTTCAGCCTGCCCTCATGTCATGCTTCTACTGCTTCTCTTCAAATGCTGGAACTGAGTGCAGAAATTGCAGAGGGCAGGCAGGCATCCTGCACTGGACGGAGCCCAAGGCCATATAAATCAGTCTCTACTCCCTGAGAGGCTTCAACCCAGGCACAGAGCCAGCCCCGAGTATGGTGATCACCACGAACATTCCTTTAAGTGGTTCAGAGGGAGTTCTGCATGCAGTAGGTACTCAATAAATACCTAATGAATTGTTCAGGAGAATTCTGAAGTGTACGCTACTTAAAATCTATAAAATGTTTCAGTGAAACAAGAAAAATAGATGCTATATAAAAACATTTTCCTGTATTTTTATCCATGTTTTATCCTTCTTTCTCCTTCCTTCTCTTTTATTTTTGGGCCCACTTGCAGTGCTTAGGGGTTATTCCCGCTGGTTGTAAGGACCATGAGATGCTGGAGTAGAATATAGGCTTTCTGCATGAAGAACATAAGCTTTATTTTAATAATCGCTCTCTCCACTCCTCTTGGCTTTGTGTCAGTTGGGGCCATGGCTATATTTTCTGACCTCTGTGAGAGCTGCATAATTTGGCTACAGAAGCAAGTATAACTGAAGTTCCTATTAGCATGTTGGGGGCCCAGGAGTCACATCAAAAGAGACCATAGAATGTAGGCACATGTATGGATACCAGGTGGGTTTCCATTTCACAGCATGGCTGAATCCCTCAAGCTCCTTTCTAATTCCAGAGTTAAGCTAAGACAGGAGGGAATGCTCTCATCACTCAAATGAAGGCCTGTGATGCTGTCCACATTTCAGTTTACACTAAAAATTGGGAAACATGGAATAAAAGAGACCACCTTCTGACTTAGAATTGCTTTCACTGCATCTTCTACTTCCTCCTGATTGTTAAGGTCAACAGTCCAAACATGTGGCCGGCCGATGAAAACTTCTGCATAAGGATGCTGGGATGTCAGCTGGAAAGGAAAGAAATGGAACAACTTAGTTTCTTGAGTACTGAATTAAAACTTTCTGTGATGAAGGAAGTGTTATGCATTTTATAATACTGAGCTGTACTTGCACAAGTAACAAGACATTGTTTCCCCATTGTTTCAAACCTCGTAAGAACCACCATGCAGATAAAAATAATAATAATAATAATAATAATAATAAAGATCACATAAGGGGCATAACAGGTGACTTCAAAAATACCAACAAGAAATATTGAGCATTTTTGCTTGACCATATATCAGTCCTACAAACTAGTACCTTTATAGACAGACAAGCATAGAAAATTCGCAATAAAATACTTAAAGTCAGGTGAAAAGATTAAAAATAATGTAGAAATATTATCAAGTAGAAAGGGCAATAATGTTATCTAAGCAAGTTTTGGAGTGACGACAAAATAATGATCATGAGTGTCACATTGGAGACTTAATATGTGTAAAAAACAATTTTCAATTAGAAAAGAAAAGGAAGGTTTTTGTTGTTGTCATCAATCAAGAAAGCTGTAACTGAAACTTGTTTAGAAAGATGTGAAGGAAGAGAAAGGGAGAAGTAAATGTTAGAGAGAACACAGGTTTTCTCCAGAGTGAAAAAGGCAAGCAAAGAAACACAGAGACAAGCGAGATATGTGTTCATGGAAGAACACGGGCTTAAAAAGCAAGCCGGAAATTTTTGTTTTTAAGGAGGATTAATTTAAAGAAAAAAAGGTTGGGCACTTGATCACTGTATAACTGAAACCCAAGCACAAAATTTGTAAGCCTATAACTGTACCTCATGGTGTTTCACTAATAAAAAAAGAAAAAAAAATATGCACTGTAAAAAAAAAAAAAAAAGGTTGGTCAAAGCTAACCAGTATGAAATCCACTCTGAAAAGTTCATTCTATAAGACAGCTAAAATGATCTCGAAAACTTGTCTCTGCCTTTATTCTTTTTTCTTTTCAGGTCACACCTGACGATGCATAGGGGTTACTCCTGGCTCATGCACTCAGGAATTACTCCTGGTGGTGCTTGGGGGACCATATGGGATGTTGGGAATCGAACCCGAGTTGGCCACATGCAAGGCAAATGCCCTACTGCTGTGATAACGCTCCAGCTGCCCATGCCCCTTTCCCCACCCCCCCAGCCTCCCCACCCCACCCCCCGCCTTTATTCTTGTGTCTCTCCAAGGTCCTGATATAAAGGGAGCATTGCAGATATTTGTGGAAGGGTTTCCAGTTCTTACATGACTTCAGGGGTGCTACCCTGAACCTATGAGGTGTTTCCTGATTTGCACCTCCTGCAAAAGGAAGGCCGCTTCTCCATGGCTTCAGAGGTTCTTGCTCTCCACAGTAAGGCACACTGACATTCCCAAGAACAGGTGAATCAAGAGATGTCTGAACTGTTTTATTTGAAACTTCACTAATGAGCTGATACCATTTTGAAAAAAAAATGGCACAAAGCCAATGCCATTCATATGAGTGCATTTCCAGTGCAATAACTCTTATTCAGATTCTATCTATAGCTCTCAAATGAATGTTATACATACACAGATATATATATGAAAATACTTTCATATTCAGCTTATAGTTTTTACTATCAAGTATAAACAAAAAGGGATGGCCGTATTCAGCTGAAATTGCTATTCCTCTCAAGTACAAACTTATTCTTTGTGTGGAGGGAAGAGGCATTATGATTTCCTGGGCGTCCGGTGAAGTCAAGTATCACTTCACCACACAGATACTGAAGTATGACTTAACATATTATAAACTACTTTCCTCTCATTTCCCCTTTATTTCAAAGTTAGGAAATAATTCATTTATGAAATTACTTAATGTAGACAGGGCATATTAGTTATGAATTCCATTTCTGGGAGGATGGCGGCCCTGGCATTAGAGGCTAAGCTGGTTATCTCTTTTTTTCTTCTGTGTCTAATATACCCAGAGGGCTGGATGATTTCACTGGTATCTCTTCACTTTGTCCTGAACCCCATTATTTAACCTACTGAGCCAATGGTGTATAGTGTACACACACTATAGGGGCAGCCACCTACAACTTAAGTTACAGGACCTCAGCTACAGTCTTCAATGGCCTGTCCACGGAGATCACGCACGTCCATTGAGATCTTGCTCCGGCCTCCTTTGTACAGTCCTGTCCCCTTGCTGGCTCAACTGGCTCCCCACCCATGCTCATAGAGGTCAGGAAATATTATTTCTTCTTCTCAGTACTTATTTTCTCTTTTGTCCTTTTCTTTTGTTTCCATGCTCAGGGCTCCACTTCTGTTGGGCTTGGGAGACTATATGTGGTGCTGGGGATTGAACCCAGGTTGGCTGCATGCCCTACCTGCTATACTATGGCCCAGACCCCTCAGTACTTATCTTTGATTCATCACCTCCCCAAGATGCCCCTGGCTGGATGGGGCTAATCACTGCACATGCGTAACTGATGAGGTCTCCTGTGCAGGAATGGGGACTTGGAAAGTTTAGAGGGTTTTATTGTTCCTCAAGACCACCTTGTCTGAGAGTAAATTCTAAGTTAGCTCCTTCAACAATTTATTTACTTTACAGTGAAATAAAGATAACATTTTTTCTCTCTTTCCTCTGTCCTACACAGGGACCACAAACCCATGTTGGCCATGCATACCTGGGTCCCACAGTTGCCTGGGCACTTCCTAAGTCACTAAGCCATTCTCCAGGCCCTTTCTTGTTGGGGATCCCTAAAACCTGAGCCATCAGCATCTCCTTAACACATGTGACAGGGAGGGTGTTTGAACTCAGGACCCAGTGCTTATTGGGTTTTAAGCCATAAGCCATTGTGTGAGCCCCCAGGATGGCAATTTTAAAGGATGTTTTTAAAACAAAGACCAAATGATGTCCAGTGTAAATACTAGAAGTTAATTACTTTCTTAAAATGCTCCAACCTAAAAAAAAAAAACTAAATAAAAAATCCCAGATTGAATTTATGTATTGGATCTTTTATGAAAATGAGGAAAATCATACTAATTTTTTTTTGACTGGAGAACAAATTAATTCTCCTAGTGGAAGTCAGAGCAAATGAAACTTGCCATTGATGTCACCACTTAGACTTCTACATATTAGCAGTGCCCCTCCTCTCTCTCTTTAAGGACCCAGCTTATTTAGGAGGTTGCTGAACACTCTTGGAAAATTCAGAGTGCTGAGCCATTATCATTTTCTTCAACCACATTTAGTGGGGTTACTTAATTTTATGAGAAAGGTAGTTTGTGATTCATTATCCACCCTTGAATGCGATGTTCCTTCTTGTTAATTTATTGAGGACCATCTGATCTGAGCTACTTCATTGTATATCAATCAGTAATTTGCTAGAGAGGAGTTTGTAAAGTAATGAAAATCTTATTAAATATGAGACATTACTTCACAGTGGTGATTAAGACTCCACTGAGAACACAAGTTCTCTTTATGTGGAAAAAAACTCTAAAGCCAGAAAATTTCTATGGTTTATAAAATGTCAGCATGATGATCAAGAACCTATTAATATGTTTCCCAATATAAAGATTAAAATAGAATTTGTATTACATTTAAAGCATAAATTGAAACGACCATATTTCTTTTAGGCATTATGGGATTTTACCCCCTTTGTGTATATATTTGGTGTATAAATTGGTCCAATGCAAAAAGAAAAATTCAACTATATTTAGAAATACAGGGTTTTTGGTTGTTTTTTGTTTTTGGGCCATACCTGACAGTGCTCAGAACTTACTCCTCTCTCTGCATTCAGGGATCTCTCCTGGCAGACTCAGTAGGTCATATGGGGTGTCAGGGATTGGACCTGGGTAAGTTATCTACAAGACAAACACCCTACATGCTGTACTACTGCCCTGGTTCCCCTAAATGTTTTCTTTTCTTCAAATAAAGGCAGAGAAGAGACATATGCATATGATCTAAAACAATTTATATGGCTCAGTTGTTGCTTAATTTTAAAAAAAAAGTATGTATTTATGTAAACTTAGGTTAAAGAGTTTAGGGCTTGTTGAACCTTAAAACTCTTAGAATTATTGATGGTTCTTTCCTGATTTAAAACATTTTTGGTTAGAAAGGGCTTATGGCATTTATGAGCTTTAAGAGCAGAATGGGAAGTCCCCTTTGCCACGGGGTCAAGTTTACTGGCTCTCACAGCTTTGTGATGCTGCTGGCACTCAGCCCGCTCTCCGCACTGTCTCTAGCTCAGAAGGATGTGAATCAGATGGAATGTGCCCTTTGGCATAAAACAACGGACTCCACCACTCCCATCCACACTCACCTCCCTTATGTTTGAACCCTTCCTGCTCTTCCTTAAAACATTGTTCTCCAGCACCCCCTTCTCAACTACCCAGCACATTTCAGACCAGGCACAGCTCCAAGTAAACTCCTCTTCCTTATTCCCCTCAGCTATTTCTTTATGCGTTTCCTTTTATTATCTATCAGACTTATCACTTCCATATAAAATTGTGAGATCCTGGAAAACAGGAAATGTTCCTGATAAATTTCCCTCCTACAGCAACTAGCACTAGGGATGCTGAGGGGACGCAATGAACATCTGTCTACTGACCTTCTGCATCTCTACCCTTCTGTGAGAGCCCAGGAGTGACAGGGTCATCTTCAGGGGGTCAATTTCTGAGCAAGTGTTGAAAGGACCCCTCACTGCCATTCTAAACTTACGCATTGGAAGGGATAGGGACCCCACTTAGGTGGCAGCCCTGAAGAGGATTCTCATCTTAGAAGAATGACTGCAATGCCATAAAGAAAACCTTCTAGGGTCTCAACAGAAACCACATTACTAAATGATGACAATGGACAAAATACAATACATAGAGTTTTCTCAGTGACTTCATAGTGTCTGGGCTGCTATACGTAACATTACATACTTAGCAGGGAAAGTAGAGTAAACTCAGTTTTTCTGTTTTTCAAGAAAAAAATATTGATTGCATCAAAGAATCATAAAAAGTGCTGAAGATTGTCAGTAATAAAAAAGTTCAGTTGAATAGGTAGTCAACGATACTTCCGGTTAATTCCTTCCCAATATTTCTGTAAGGAACTGCAGTAAGAAAATAAATGGGTTTCTTCATTCATTTTAGGAAATCAGGGAGAAGAAAATAGAAAAATCACCAAAAGAACCTCATAGTAATAACTGTTGCAGGTAAAGGCCACTGATACACGCGAAAATAAACTGGTAGAAGTTTAAAGAAGAAATAGGGTATCTGTGTCATCACAAAGTATTTCCCTCACAATAGAGGAAATTAATAACTTCTGAGTGAAGAAATATAGCACATACTATTTTAACCAAAAGATCAAGGTTAATATCGCCACTAATAAGACACTCTGACACCTTGCACCCTCTGATATGGCATGCTAAGAAGTTGATTATCGTGACTTTGTTATTGTTCAAATTGCGTAACCTCAAACTATCATGAAAAACTGTGAGTCAAATCCAAATTGAGGGACAGTGTTCAAAGACATAGACCAGTAAGTATTCTTTAAGAGGGTTAAGATCAAGGCCTGGAAGACAGTTCAAATAGCAAATGCCCAGAATGTGTAGGCCCTATGGCCTCTAAAACATTACTGGATGTAGCCCTGGTGACCCTGAGCACTGTGTCAATGCCCAAGCACCATCAAGCCTGCATCTATTTCTGAGAGTGACCCTGTACCAACTCCTATACAGCACCACTGGATGTGGCTCCTATTCAAAAAAAAATTTTAATAAAAGGATCAAGGTCATGAATGACAATGAAATGTTGGAGGTGACTAAAGAAACATAGCAATTAAATATAATGCAAACTCTGGATTGGATCCTGGAATAAAATAAGAACATTAGCACAGGGGAAAAAAAACTAATGAAGACTGAAAGTCTGTAGTTGTAGTTTATATGAATAATTTTTAAACTTTTTATATTAGTGAACCAGCAATGGATAGGCAATTCAAAAACCACTGGTACCAATACTATTTTCTTGATTTTGATAATTTCTCTGTGGATTTTGAATATGACCACTCTCCATCATAAGAAGCTGGGTGAAGCCAAAATGTGTTAAGACCATAATCATTCAAAATAAGAATGAAATTCCAACAACTCCACTTGTTGGTAAACATGCCAAAGAATTAAAAGGACTCAAGTAGATGCTTGTAAGCCACTGTGTATGTGAAAACACCAGTACCCACACCAACAAGACGTGGAAACAGTCCAGGAGGCCATTAACAGACTAGGTCAATAAAATGGGACACAGGAAGCAATTCCGTACTATGCAGCCTTAGGAAAGAATGAGATTCTGACATGTGCTATGATATACAAAAACCTTAAAAATAGGCTAGGTGAAATAAGTCAGAGACAAAAGAACAAATATTATAATTCCATTATATCTAGAATCTAAAATAGGTTGATTTTTAAAGATAGAAAGTGAAATAAATGTTACAAAGCACTGGATGGACAGGAGAAAAGGGGAATTTTTTAAAAAATTTTGAATTTGGGGCTACACCCAGTGATGCTCAGGGGTTATTCCTGGTTCTGAACTCACAAATTACTCCTGGTGGTGCTCAGAGGACTATATGGGATGCTTGGGGACAGAACTTTGGTGCTAGCAAGGCTAGCACCCAACTTTGTGTACTATCACTTTAGCCCTAGGAATCATTATTTAATGAGGACAGTTTCTTTTTGAACCAATAAGTTCTGGAAATATATAGTGTTGGTGGCTGAATTAGTATTAGGGAACTGTAGCCTTCAAAACAGTTAAAATGTTGTATATATTATATATCTTATTACCCAAAAGGTAAAGTTGCAACAAGTGTACAATTGGGCAAAAGTAGAACGTCAGTGATTTTCTACACCTAAATTAAAATCCAGAGACAATAATTTATTAGTCCCTATTTACTTCTCCAAAATGTCACCTTCAAAAGAGTCAGTCAGATGTTAAAAGCTGAGATTTCTAAATTGAGATGTTCTTACTTGCTGGGAGCATCCTTTGAAATCTTTTCAAAGAATAAGTGCTTCACTGTCAGATTGGACCTTCCTGATCTCTGGGCCCTGGTGTCTCTCATGGCACCTGGCACACAGGTACACACCAGGGGTTGCTGAGGAATGATCCCCTAACAAAGATACTATTCCCTCAAGTGAAGAATTCAGATTTATTCTATTAGCAGGAAAAAAAAAATCAGCAAATGTGGGTATACATGCAATTCTCTCCCTCCTTCTCTGCCTCTCTCCCTGCTAGAGGTTATCTGGCCAAAAGATCCATCTTTCTGAGTATAATCTAGTGATCTTGTACATGTTCCTCCATTTCACCAATGAGAGGATCAGAAGAGAGCACTTGTAATTCTAAGATCTCGGACTGAACAGTAAAAAAGTGATCAGGAAAAAAAAATGCACTTAATGTGCTAGGTACGGGAAGAAAACCAATCCACCCTGAAGTTAATAAAACCGCCGTGAAACTGGAAAAATGCAGGCATTAAAATCAGGAAGGCTGCCTGAGAGCCAGCCCCAGCGGCAGGTCGAACAGGCTTGGGCACTACAACCGCACCCACTCGAGGATGCTCCTTTCCAGCAGCCTCTGGGGAACCTGGGAACAACACAGGATCAACAAGAAACTCTACCTACAGTTTCTTGCCCACACCTGTTTCAGACTAGATAAAGAAACCCCTGGCTTGACACTCACATCCTTATCTAGAAGGCTTTTGTTTATTGATCCAAATGGAGCCCAACTGCTGGAGTGACTGTCAACCACTATCGATGTTCAAGTGGACCCAAGAAAGCCATTGAAATGAGGCTTCTGAAAATGGTCTGAGCACCAGCAGGCTGGGTTCTTAGGAGGATGCCTGCTGAGTGGGCAGAGCAGGCGGTTAAATGCAGGTTGGATCATCATGGCAGTCACTCATGAGACTCAAGGTTGAACTTAAGAACTCCACAGTCCTACTCAGTGTTGCCATGGCCCATTCTGGAGAATAGGTTCTTCAGAAATACCCATCAAAAGACTGGAGTGATAGCATAGCGGGTAGGGCATTTGCCTTGCATGCGGCCAACCCAGGTTCAATTCCCAGGATCCCATATGGTCCCCTGAGCACTGCCAGGAGTAATTCCTGAGTGCATGAGCCAGGAGTAACCCCCCGCGCATCACCGGGTGTGACCCAAAAAGCAAAAACAAACAAACGAAAAACAAAACCATAAAACCCATCAAATGAATAATTTCCTTGTTCCATACATACTAACCAGTCAACAAAAATCCAAGTTCAGCTCATTCGGGGCCTAGCAATACCTATTCTAATGAAGATAAAGGCGTGGGTGGACTGAAAATGTCCTGCACTTTGAGAAAGGGTAGAAACGGATTCAAATCTACACATGGCTCTGCCTCTCTGGGGCTAAATGTGACCTTCCTTGTCTCTGGGCTGGTTCTACCTGGCACCCAACTGTGTTGCATGAAGTTGGTAAATCTCCGCCGTCTGGGGTAAGAGTTTAAATGAGCAGTCAGCGCTCCGTCCACAGCCATTATTGCTTTGGCTGAAAGTAGAATGATTCTTAGAGATGCTTACCTCTCTCAGAGTTGGCTTGCCAATGAAAAAGTCGGTATTTTTGCTGCTTTTGGGGGGACTGAACTTGGGATTCAGGAAAGCACATCCATTTGCGATGGCCTCCAGGGGAGCCGGGCCCTCGTAGGGAAACCCAAGTCCGACGAACAGCTGCAAGACAGAGAAGCACAGTACAGATAAACACACTGTCAAGAGTGTCCCCGGCTGGCCCAGGGTTGCCCGGTCCACGCTGCTTTCCTGTGTGGAGGTCTCACGCAGACTCCGGAAGGTTCCTGGCTCCTGATGGGAAAGGCTAAGTGAAGTCAGTTTTCATTAGGATCTGGAAAAGATCATCCGGCCCTCATGTTTTCTTTTGCTAAATGAAAAAAAAAGTTATGAAATCAGTGTTGGGGGATGGCTGAAGGGAGAGGGAGGTGGGAGTATTAAAAGAAGCAAAACAACAACAAAAACCGAGGCCCCACAATAACCGTTCTGTAACTCACCAGGAGTCGGGACTGGAAAAACACTTGCTTAAGCAAACAGAAGGTTTCTTCATTGAACCCCAGAAACAACAGGCCCTTTCAGCGATGCCTGGCGCAGGACAGGGAGGTCCCTGGGTGGTTTGATTACCATTCCAGGGGCGCTTCTTGGACATGATGGGCGAGCGGCGAGCGTGGGCTTCCACTGGGGGATTCTCACTGGGAGGGGGGCACCAACATCGGGTTCTGATTTTCCCTTTAATGATGGGGGGTGAGGATGCAGAGCTGTTTCACACAGGTCAGGCAGCTTTGCTCTCTGGCAAGCAAACCCCATGTTTTCCCCGCGACGGACGATAGAGGGCAGCAAAAGCGCACCACAGGTCTCACGGCCAGCACAGCTGAGAGCCGGTGACAAAGGGTTCTGCCTGCAGCTCTGTGTGGCTTGGGGCCCACAAAGGCAACGAGGTTTCAAAAAAAAAAATGCCTCAAAGCATCCCGACAGCTCTGGGTTCGTTCATGCCAGAGGTACCCGAGGCCCTGGGTCTCTGATGGGTGCCATGTGAGATCTCCCTGGCACAGCAAGGAGGCAATTCCAAGAGCTCTGGGTCCCAGGCCCCAGAGGCACAAGCGACAAAGGATACCAGGGCCCTAGGCTCCCTGCTCGAGCATGGCAATGAGGAACAACCCACCAGCCAGACAAAGAGTGAAGGACTCCAGAACGGGCCGAGACTGGGTGCTCCGTGGCGGCTCTTGGACCCTCTGCCCAGCAATCCTATCTAGGTAGCCCTTTCAATGACTCATGATTTAACTCTAACAAGGGAGCCTTGAGTCCATGCTGCCAGGCTCTATGAGCAATACTGGAAGACAAGCTGGAGGTGGAGGGCACCAGTGCCTGGGCTGGAGACTGGGCGGCCCTATGTTGACCTTACTGGAGATTTATGGGTAGCCCCAAGAGGTGAGTAAGTAAAATTCTCTACTTTCTGGAGAAACTCGACCTGTGCTTGAGCAGGTAGCTAACCTTTGTGTTGTTCTGGAGGGTTTATGTCTCCTTTCCTGAAAACCCTGAGAGGACTGACCGGCTATCAAGGACATCTGTCCATAGCAGGAGTCAGAGAGAACCTGTGTGTCCAGGGTGTGTGGCTGGAGCATGGGGCTCCAGGGAAGGGGATGACTCGAGCAACAGAAGAAATGGGAGGAAATGGGGGAAAGAACAACCCAGCTTCAGGAAAGACACAGAACTCAGGGTACCTTTTGACCTCACAGATCTTTCCTCCCCATCAGAGCTGGGGAAAGGTCTCATCTGTCCAATGGGAAAGATGGCCTCTCGGGCCATGGGTCAGGCCAGTTTGAAAGCACAGGATTTCTGGATTCCCTTCAACCATGAAGGGAAAGATGCTAGAAGGTGAAGACTGGGGTCTTGTGAGATGGAAAGAACCGGAGCCTGCACTGTTTGCTGCCCTCCGGAAGGCAGAGCCTGCTGCAAAGTGCTGATACCGTCCATCAACTCCTGCTTGCAAAGAAGAATGCTGAAGAAAATGCATGAGTGTAAGGCTAGTCCATTTAAACAGAAAGTCCTGGAAAAAAAATTTAATTAGCTTCTTCAGACCAACCAATCTGAACCCATTAATTAAAAGGATTTGAGGCCGTTGCTTAATGGACTTGAATGTGACCCAGGTTTAATTATATCGGAATAACAATTTGCACCATCTCTTCTGCCCTACTAGCATCAGAACATCTCAGTACATATAAAATAAACACTTTGGGCTAACTCTCCAAAACCTTACAATTTTAGAATAAAGCTTAAGCAAATACCAGGCAATTTCCTGGCAGTGAGTTTTTGTGTCACACTAATTAGGAATGCAGGAACTGCATTACTTGGAAACATCAAAATAATAGTCTTTTTGTCACTTCTGTCAATAAGCAATTTTTTTGTTGTTTCTTGTGTACTCATTACCTGCGACATTATAATGGATCACATATATTAAGGTCAAATAGCAGATTTGAGGTTTAAACGACAAGAGATTAGATAAAAAGTTCTTCAATGTCAGTTCTATAAATTTCTGAGTACTTAGGACCTTGCCACACACTGGACCCTTATCCAAACTCAATCACTTACCCTTTGTCCCCCACTTCCCACATCATTCTGCCTCCTTCCAGGTTACCTGAGCAGGGAGGCAAGAGATACAAAAGAATGCATTTGAGTGCAAAAGCCTAACTCTTCAGAAGGAAACTGGGCATATTTTATTTATACTTCAACTAGCCTTCAGAAGCGCCGAATTTAATGAGGCTATTCCAGATGACAGACCATCTCCATGGCTGCAACCCTGGCTCTATCAGTAAGCACTTCCAAACTGAGAGATGACATGCTCTAAAATTAAAATTTTGAACCAATATTAAGAGAGAACAGCTGGAGCGCCATAGATTTTCTTCAGGGCACAGGGAATTCCCACACACTGACAAAGGTTTGGGAAAACCACTTGCATTTTATAACTCTGTGAAAGGAGAAACTGAATTGTGTGAAACCCTTAAGTGGTTTAGAGAGCTGAGGTTCATTTTTGTTTGTTTGTTCTGTCCTTTATGTAGTCCCTGACAATGCATAGGGACAGTTCCCAGCTCTGCTTGGGATTTCTCCTGGTGGTCTGAGCAACTATGTGATGTAGGGGACTAAATCCAGGCAACCCGCATATAAATAGTTCAGTGCTCCAGTTCATTGAACTACCTCTCTGGCACAAGATTCTTTTTTTTTTTCTTTTTTATTGAATCACTGTGAGATAGACCCTTACACAACTGTTCATGATTGGATTTCAGTCAGGCAATATTCCAACACCCATCCCTCCACTAGTGTACATTCCCAGCACGAGTGTCCCCAGGTTCCCTCCCATCACCCCCACCCTCTGCCTGTCTCTATGTCAGGTGCTTTTTTTCCCCTCCCTCCCTCCCTCCCTCCCTCCCTCCCTCCCTCCCTCCCCCCCCCCTCTCTTTCTCTCTCTCTCTCTGCATTGTGGTTTGCAGTATTGATACTGAAAGGTTATCAAGAATATCCCTTTGACTACTTTTAACACTCAGTTCTTATCCAGCGTTATCATTCCCAGCTATTATTGGCACACCAGTTTCTTCTCTAACTTATCTACCTTCAGTCCCACACACACTTGTGATTAGTTCCCACCACAGACCAGTCCTCCTAACCCGTTTTCCCTGGCCACAGTTACAAAGACAGTCTATGGAATCAGAAAGGATATTCTGTACTCTCCAGTACTCTCCTGATAAGGGCTTAATATCAAAGATACAAGGCACTGGTTGAATTCTACAAGGAAACAATATCCCATCCATAAGAAAATGGGGCTATAATGCACTGAAAACAGAAGTGAATCACACAAACAGAAAATCAAGTCAAACACCTGGAAACTAATCAGCTCACTACTGAACAATGAGTGGCTTAGAAGGGAAATCAAAGAGGAAATCAAAAGATTCCTGGAAACAAACGAGAATGAAGACACAAGTTACCAGAATTTATACGGCAAAAGCTATGTTAAGAGGAAAGTTTATAGCTCTACAAGCATTTTTCAGGAAGGAAGAGTGAGGCCACGTAAGTAACCTAAACTCACAGCTTGCGATCTTGGAGAATGGCCAACAAAAGGAGCCCAACTCAGGAAAGAGGAAGGAAATAATAAAACTTAGAGCAGAAATTAATGAGATGGAAGCCCAAAAAACAATCTGAGAGATCAATGAAACCAAGAGCTGGTTCTTGGAGAAAATAAACAAGATCGATAAACCTCTAGCAAGACTCACAAAGAAAGGGAGAGAGAGAAAACCATACTAAACAGAATCAGAAATGAAAAGGGGGACATCACAACAGACTACAGAACTTCAAAGGATCATCAGAGATTACTTTGAGAATCTTTGTGCCACGAAACAAGAAAACCTCGATGAAATGGATAAATTTCTGGTTTCCCATAGCCTCCCAAGGCTGAACCATGAGGACCTGGAGTATCTGAACAGACCTATCACCATCGAGGAAATTGAAAGGATAAATAAAAAGTCTCCTCAAAAACAAAAGCCCTGGTCCAGATGGATTCATTAGTGAATTCTTCCAAATTTTTTAACAGGACTTACTCCCAATCCTTTTCAAGCTTTTCCAGGAAATTGAAGAATCAGAAACACTTTCAGTTTCTATGAAGCAAATATCACCCTGATACCAAAAGCAGAAGAGATACCACAAAGAAAGAGATTACAGGCCAATATCCCTGATGAACACAGACACAAAGTTCCTCAACAAAATCCTGGCAAATAGAATCCATTGACTCATCAAAAAGATCATATACCATGACCAAGTGGGATTCATTCTGAGGATGCAAGGATGGTTTAACACTCGCAAGTCAATCAACATAATCGATTATATCAACAAAAGGAAAGACAAAAACCATATGATTATATCAATAGATCCACAAAAAGCATTTTACAAGACCCAGAACCTATGTATGATGAAAACTCTTAGCAAAATTGGCACTGAAGGAACTTGCCTCAATATAGTCAAAGCCATCTACCACAAGCCCCCACAGCAAGCATTATTCTCAATGTAGAGAAATAAAAGCCTTCCCTCTAAGATTGGGAATAAGACAAGGTTGCCCGCTCTCACCACTCCTATTCAATATAGTACTGGAAGTTCTTGGAATAGCAGTTAGGCAAGAAAAA